CTAGCGAATAGTATCCACACTGAATATTCGGACGAAATACTTTTGAAATTAGTATTTTAATACATACTACAATTCTGTTCAGGATACGTGTACACGAACACTTTATGATTAAACTTGTACTCAAAAAGTATACCAACTGAAAAGTACTCGACGAGCCTCATCATTCCATTATCCGAAAAAAAACTATTACTAAAACGTGGAGGTTAATTGAAAACATTTCTAGAACATATTTTTTTATTTATTTGTTCGTAGAAATCTGAAAGAGACTTACTTATTGTTAATCGATAAATTGCAAAGTACGAAATGTTTTTAAATATTCGTTATAACGTACTGGTAAAATTATGAATAAAATTGTATCTAATTAATTTGTATTTCATTATTCCATGTATTCTATTACTAAATAATAGATACAAATTAATGAACAAACGAGTGCAATAATTTATTTTGTTGTAACTTCTTCGTTGTTTTTTCGATTTTTTAATTTCTCGATCGAATCAGTTTCTTTTTTCTTTTTTTTTGATTAGATAACAGAATTCAATGTAATTCATTGTAAGTTCTGATACATCCAAATTCTAATTTGGAAATTTTCCATGTACTAATAATGAATTTTAATTACAAAGTTGTTGTAGAATTTAAATCATCAATTTCTTTCCGGTGTTCAACAACACATGTTCGATCTTAAACCAACGACATGTTTTCAACGGTAGTTTAAAAGATTATCCGAAGAACAACCTTGATCGGTTTTCAGTGCGAATAGATCGCTGAAACTTAATTTTTCCTTTTCGTTCTCAACCCCCGTACGATGTATATATTCGACGATAACGCGTTAGATCCAGTTAGATGTCCGTACGGTTTATTGTCAGCGAAGTATACTGAGATACAATATTTAACTGTACAATATGAATATTCCGACCGCTGCAGCACGACCGCGTGGAAACACAGAAAAACGCAACAAATAGTGTTTACATATGATATTTGCATAATATATCTATTCATGTGTACGTACGATTCGCTACGCGTGTTGTACGGTGACCACGAATAGTATCGTTTTAACACATACACCCGTCGTACACGTTATTTTCATTATATATACTTATATCTTTGGTAGCATACAGCGAAACAAAATAACACCAAAGTAGATAAAAATAAAACGATTAGAATACCCCTTATTAAAACGCACAAGTTAAAAACCATTTTTTTAAACAGCGTATATCGCAGCACAGTCGTGCGCCGGTCTCTCGTTCATTTTTCCCTAAATTTCCAATTTAGCTGCCTCAGCTCATTTATTTTACCGGCCTATATCATCATATATATATATATATATATATATATATATATATATATTCGTATGGTATAATCCAAATAGAAACAAAAATATTTAACGAAAATATAAATTTAGGATATAGGTAACAACAATTATAAAACATGAATTATTACAGATATAGCAATAACAATAGAAAGATAAATATAGTATGTAACTATATTACCATACAAATGCTGTTATAAACATTTTGTGACTATTTATTTTTTTTACTATTTGCTTCATCACAAGTCTCCAATTACTGCATATTATCTATGTGTATCGTTTCGGAATGTATTTCATACACACGCGGAGCAAAACGAAAATATACACTATGACTGCCGGGGTGTAACAAGAGCACATTATAACATATATAGGTACACAACAATAAGTACTCACGAGCATGTAATGTATATGAATTATGCTCGTGTCACAATACCATTCGTTAGAATAATATCCAAATGGTACGGACGTGATTTCGTATTACTCCGTCGGGACGCCATAAAAAAAAAAAAAAAAACCGTACGTATAATATAATTGTACAGATCATACAATATTAAAACAAATGTTTAAAACAAAACCAGAACATCGAAACACACCTGCACGTAATAAAAGTGAATAAACTGTTCAAGACTTTATGGAAGCCTAAAAAAAGTGCTTGGTTTGGTTAAACGAAGTTTCCGAACAACAATATCGTATTGGGATGAACGATAGTTTTTGCTTACAACCGAGATCTGACGCCGCTCGAGAACGGGTAACTACACTTATTAATATCATATCAAAAGTACGTCGGGGTTCGATAACGATAACGAGATGAAAACGATTTCACTGTAGATAATAATACGGTAAATCGGTAAGGCGGTTAACGTCAAATCGAAAAGAAAAAAAGGAATTGTACAAACAGGTTTTCGATAAGTTGACGATCGTTGGTGGTTTTTTTCCGATTATTTGCCTTTGCTAATAATGCTTTTGCTTTAACGTGTAACACGTTAGAGGTCTTTTTCGCTTATAAAATCAACGTCAATATATGTGACACACGTCGTAAAAATGTATAGGAATATCTAATCGGTCTAAACATAGATGACATTGATAGTGATTCTTGAAGGTTTAGTAAATTGAGTCCCATTTTATTAATTGTAGGTCAACTGAGTCCCACCTAAAAAAAAAAAAGATAAATCGAGCCCCTCATATAAAAATGAAATCGGTAAATTGAGTCCTTTGTATAAAAATTCAAGTGGTAATTTGAAATATGGTGAAATACTGTTTTTTTTTAATTTAACACAATTGTACACTACGCACATTAAACTTACATTTATCAGTCATCACATATCACACCCATCGTTGTTGTAGATAGTTAGGTACCTATATAAATGTTGCGTAATAATACGGAACGAAATATAATATATAATATTTAACGATGTAACGTACTCGGTAAATTTACAACTATATCAACGATTATATTTATAATTTAAATACGTTTAATACATTAAATATTTTAGACGGCACTCAATTTGCCGTTTCAGCTATTATACGAGGGACTCGGTTTACCAATTTCGAAAAAAGATAAATTTGTTTGGGACACGATTCACCTACGCCCGATCCTTGCAGGTGTTTTTCGACGTGAGAACAACCTGTTTCGGGAGAAAGAGTTCTCGCGACGGGCCAGGCGTTTTAGAAAGGAGAGCATGTTTGAAGATGGATAAAAAACCGTTTCCGATTTACGATGAGTGCGATTTCGTTCGAGTGAACAATCGGTTACACAACTGATATGTTTGTATGTTACACGATCGTTACGGCATAGGAGAACTTTTGGATTATCCGACGGCCTAAAAGCGTGAGAACAACGGGTAGGCGTGTAATCATGATTTGGATATTAGCCGCGATCATCGACGGAACGCGCGTGCTTCCGCAGCACGGCGCGCGGAGAGCGGCGAATCGATCGACGGTGCCGGTGCGGATAGAAAATGAGAGAACACGAGCGGGGGAGAGACGGTGGTCCGGGCGCAGCGACCGGCAGCGACGGCAGCGGCAGAAGTAGCGGCGGCGGCGGCAGCAGCTACGGTACGGCGGGCCGTGTACATCACGTGCCGCGCGCTACCCCGCAGGATAACCGTCGGCGGCCAGGATTTTAGGT